TATTTTGATGACATCATTCGTCACTATCTCTGGTCTTGATACCACATAGATATATGAGTTGAAAGCTATAACATAGTGCAATGGTAGAAGTCCGAGAGGAATACCCTCAAAATAGATGGTGGAACTAGTTATGACCGACTGCTTGCTGTAGCATCCTTACAACATTGTCCGCTAGAATTTGTGTTTTAGGTGTCATCACAAGTCTTACACCCATGTTGTCTTTATTTATGCACTTGCTAAATCAAACCAATCAAAGTTTTCAAATTCATCATTTGAAACCATTTCTTTCATTAGACTCTTATTAAGCTTTTTCTACGATCTTTGTGGACGATACTCGGTATTCTATACCATTTTATTACTTGAAAGACAACATTGAGACTAATTGTATGCTTTTTGGTCCTGATTACCAAGTCTGTAGGTGTGCAAAAGCTCATCTCAGCCTCATGTTTATTGCTTAGGGACAAGAAGAAATTGAGGGAGGTGATGAAGATGACATGGATGGAAAGTCTTTTGGTATTCAAAACAATGAATACATCACTAATTTACGTAATCAAATTGCAAACAGTTTTTGTTAAATGCATTAAATTAAGAATTGTTCAAAAACTATTATGTTGAATTTGATTGTTATATTTTTTTATTTAATATAAAACTTGAAAAAGTAATGTTGTGTTTATTTAGATTAATATGAAATATTGGGTATATAATTTATATTTGCAAAGTAATTGTTTTATTCATATATTTATCAAACAACTATATTTCATTTAGAATTAAATCATATAAAGAGTTAAAATGGTAATTTTTATCATTCAGACTGTTCATATTTCATTATGCACTATATCATACAGAGTCTCTTATTCTTTTTGATCAGTGATCACTTAATCATTCTGCATCAAATCATTTAGCAATTGCCAAACAACCCTTAATTCTCATGGATTTTTGGTTTGCCCACCCAAACCCAAAATTCGGGTTTGGTTTCCATATCCGAAATACAATTGGATTTTGGTTTGCGTAACCCGACCAACCCGTTTGATGCACACTCCTAACTCCAACATATTCTCCAAAATGGAGATTTTGGAGATTTTTGCTCCAATAGGCTCCCCAAAACCTTCTCCAAAATAGAGAGTATAAGAGAGATGGTGAAATTCTTCAAAATTGATTAACTACGAAATATAAATTAGTTTTTATTTTTATTTTTCTTACCAACGAAAATCCTTGAAATTAAATGTATAAGAGAGAGAGAAATAATATTATATGAAATATATTGAATATTTTAATAATACAATTCATATTGTAATTTTCAAAATAGAGAAGTTGTTGGAGATTATATAAATCTTCTTTGAATATTTTGATTTTTCATTTTGAAGAATCTGTTGAAGATGCTCTGAGAAGCAAAATAACGCGTCGTTATCCCATTACATTAACAAATATGCATTATTTTAATAATCTATTTTTTACTTGTGGAAATAAACAAAATATTACATGGTATGCATATGTATATAATTAAATAACGTGAAATATTTGCAGGGAGCTCATTACATGTAAGGAATGAGATAATGAAAATTAATATAGACAGTCAATTTTGAAAGTGCACTGACGTTAACTTTTTTCATATTTGGTTCCTTATCGTAGTTAAAAAGTCAATATAAAAGATCTTGCATTAGAGATCTCATCATCATCTTATAAATCTAGTAGTGAGCCTCTCTTTCTCTTTTGATTTAGAGGCTGTATGTTTACCTCTTGATAGTTCTATTAAGATGTAGTTTCTGAATTGTTTAGAGGTGAATCTTGTTTGACAAAAAAAAATCTGTCTCTTAATGGTTCTAAAACCCTCTGAATGATTTTGTATCATGGCCTCCCTTAACCATTCAGCACCCTAATTCCATTGTAAACAATTACCTAACATTTAAATTTCATTTTATACTATATCATGAGAATCTCTTAATCATTTTGACCAATTAATCATTCTACACCAAACCATTCAGCAACTGCCAAACATTTCTTTAGTTTAACAAAGAAAGGGTTTGCAAAATGGTTTTCAAATGCCTTTATTTAAAGACTTTGAAAGGGGTTATTCTATTTATTGATCTTAATTCCTCTTTATTGTTAACAAAATATTAGTTGGTCCTTTCAAAATGCTTTAAAAGCAGCAAGTTAAATTTCAGACAATTTAGCTTGATGAACTTGTACCCATGTGCTATAGTGGCTTGTAAACAACTCATGCTTTATATATATATATATATATATATATATATGTGTGTGTGTGTGTGTATGTGTATACAGATAGAGGGGGGAGAGGGATCAAACGAGAACCTGTTTAAAATAAAAGAACACGATAACAGCCAAATCATTTATGATTTTACACTGAAATCACATGCGATTACAGGACATGATCAACACATGGGTACACGGGTGACTTGTCTAGCAACCTAGGTCGCATGTAATCACATGTGATTTTACACGTGAGTTTATATAAAATCACATATGATTTGTTCGTTCTTATGTTCTCTTAGTTGAACATTGTTCTCGTTGGACTTGACTCTCTCTCTCTCTCTATATATATATATATATATGCACCTTTTTTTTATTAACCACATAAATACTACAAACTTTACAACCTCATTTGAGTAATTCTTTTTTGATCAACTGTTATGGTCAAATTAGAGGTTACAAATTGATAGAAAAAAAATTACATGGAATTAAGAAAGCACAATATTGTAAGAAATTATTACTTTTTCTTAAAAGATAATCTCTACATTCATTTATCCTTAAAATTCTCCTTTCCTGATTATCTATTGTTTATATAAAGTTTATAGTGTTTCAACCATCAACTTTGATTGTTCTGTCTTTACCAAAGTTCATAGGTGAAACCAGAAAGTTTAAAAATAAAAAAAATGAATTTTGTTTTAAGTTAATAGATGAAATAATGATTCTTTTTAAACTTCATAACGTTGTTTCATGTATTAACTTTGGTTGTTCCAATTTTTTACCAAAGTTCATATAAGAAATAAAAAAATGACGATATTTGGAGATTTCATATGTGAAATTTTAGTAAATGTTTTCGTACGTGAAACATAGTAAGAAACCAAAAAGTGACATGGTAATTATTTTAAAATAACAAGTGAATGAGGTAATTACGAAATATGATATCAATGTATGAAAAAGGATGGAAATACTATGGTTAGAACAATTTGTACCAATTACACGATCAACAATATAATCTCTCTCTCTACCTCTCTCTCTCTCTCTATATATATATATATAGAGTGTGTGTGTTTGGTTTTAGTGAGAAAAAGAGTTAAGATGAGAAACGTAAGAAGTGATCTCCACCATTGGATTCACATTATGATGAGATGCACCAGATTAATCCTTGTATCAAAGAGCGATTCATGAGTAGATTTGAGATTAAAGGTAATCAAAGGTCTAAATCCTTCTTACACTTCTCACCTTAATTTTTCTTCTCACACGTTTATTCGCCTATTAAGATGAGAATAAGGAAATGACCAAAATGCTTATTCAACTTGATTTACAAGAAAATTTTAACAATGATTAGTAAGAGAGATGAACCAACGTTTTTTTTTACAAGTGTGAGCCATGGAGGACAAATCTCTAGTAAAGGAATTGTAATGATCAATTTCATTGAAACCAACAAATGTTAGGGACAAAACTGTAATTCACACTTATTTTAATACTACAATTTGTAATCATATTTAATACATTAACTGTTAACAAAATCTATAAATAACAAAAAAAAATGCTCACTAATCAATATAACCTGGCCTGACCCGTTAAAGCAAATACCAACAAGTCGTCGATTTAATATATCAACTATCAGTAAAAGTAAAACATATTTTGTTTCAGTTTCTATTTTAAAATATTCATTTTGGATTTGATATTTAAAACACTTTTATGCCTTTTTAACCCAATGGGCAATGGCTAAGGTTCCATTTAGCTGACAATGGCCAAGGTTCCATTTAGCTGACATTGATTAAAATAAATACTTAAATGTTTGAGATGTCATATTATAAACATCAAAATAAAGGCTTTCCAAATACATAACCTAACTAAAAAAATTGGTTATATTTTCATGCAATTTGCTCTAAAAATAGATAATTAGCATTTCAAAATATTAACACAAACATTCCATCTACAAGTTGCAAAATAAGCAGTCAAACTTCAGATCGAATTGATGATTTTGAAGTGCGACTTTGTCAAAGTTTTTGGGATTTTCAAATTATTAATTATGATTACAAAAGCTATATTATTAAAATAATAATATAAACACTTTAGTAGATTGTAAGCATTTAAATAGTCGACTTTCAAGTTGTTCAACCCATTTTTACCATTTCTATTTCTTCTTTTTTTAATCGCTTTAACAAGTGAGCATTCTCGTTATGTAGCCAAATCCAGTAAACATAAACGTTCCACGTGATCTCTAAATGTCTTTGATTGAAAGTTCTGTCACAAAGGGCATTTCAATATGTTTCTCAACATCAATCTTGAGTTTCAATAAACTATCATCAAACCCCTTGTTACGTTCAAGTGTGGTAGGAGAAATCACGACTGAATTACAATCTCGTTAATAACAAATAGAACGATGTAAACATATATAATATAAAAATGCTCCCCATAAAATTATGGAACGGTAAGTACCCTCAAAACAACGTCGGATAGATCACTAATCATTTAATAAACGAAAACATGAGCACAATTATTTTTAATTTTAATAGTGTCAGAAAATAAAGATAATATTAGTTTTTTTAGAATATATAATGAACGGAGCATGGTTACCACGTGGTACCACCTGAATCATCCATGTATGGTGCAGGGTCGTTGAAAATTTCATAATTATGTTCACTAGAGCACAATGGCGGATCTAGAAATTTCGATGACTGTGGCATACATTAGACGTTGCGGCACGACTCATTAAGGATAGTTTTTTTTTTTAACTCTGGTAAAATCGAAGTGATTAGGGGAATCCCTCCACTTAATGAATTGTGCCACTATCGAGCATTTTCTTTTGGCCGACGTCTCCCTCCTATCAGTAAATTCGACGTCTCAACAACATCATCTCTACTGGACCCACAAACAATTCGACGTCGTGCCCAAAACCCTTTATTCTTCTTGCTCTTACTCTTACTTTTCGTACCTTCCGACAAAGCCACAGTTCTTCGGTGGCGGCCACCATGATCACCACCATCTACTGACCTGCGACGATGCTCAACGCTACTAGACTCAAGATAACAATCAAGCTCCTTTGAAATCCTCTCTATTTCGTACTTATCCAAAAGAGATTTATCAACATGCTCAGTATCTACCGGAACATAACACTGTTGGTTCTGGGGTTGTTTACTTGCAGAAACATGCTCAGTATCTAACGACGGACCATCACCACATGATTGTGACTCACGAGTCTCCTTTTGTGGTTTTTGAATAGCTTCAAGCTTGTACCTAGAAGGTCTAGGCGTGTAATCACGTTTTCTTCTATAGTCGCTCTCTTGTACTGATTTATGCTCGAACCATGATCCGCGTTCGTACCAAGCCCATGCGGCAGCCTTCATGATTGCATGTTGGTCTTTATTTTCCTTCTGATTTTCTTGAACGACCATGATTCGACTATACAGTAATCTTTTGTCTAACTGATACCAACTTTAAAAAGTTCAAATTAGTTATCGCTTTGATACTTGATTTGAAGTTTCGAATGTTTAAAGGATCCATTAAATAACAAATATATCGGGAAATCAATATCATGGGATGTGGAAAGATTTGGTTCCCATACGTCGTCGTTTTGGACGTGGCATTAAGTACAATGTCGTTGGTTTACAAGGCCAATTTTCTAAACAGCACATGTGTTGCGTTGGCCCTTCTTTGGCCACATCTAATAATAAAAAACAAAAGAATTTATCAAATAGATTTCAATGTAAATAATAATATTATTATATTAAAATCATTAAATGTTTATTTATTTAAACCACATGTTTCTGTATCAGTCTACATGTAACTCAACTGATTTTTCTATATCAGTTTGTATACAACTCAACTGATTTTATGAGATTTTTGAAAACAGTTATGAAAATTCCCAGTAATTTTAGAAGGATTCGAACTGATGACCTATAAAAAAGGTCTCAAAAACTCGAGTTTTATTATCAGTGTCCTAACCCCTCAAGGTTTAAAACTAGACCAGATTGTTTGAAAGGAGTAAACTATTAATAGATATGCATTATTTTCTCAAAGACACGTAAGGCCCTACGTTGTTGGCCCTATAGCAATTACGGGGGATGGAAATCATATTCTTCCTAATGGCAGGTAGGTGATATTGTCTGGGATTGACATCAAAACCTCTTATTTCATTACCTACCTCCTAACCGCTAGGCCGTTAGGGCATATCAATAAATATAGAAATACAAACAAGGCAACAGAATTATGAGGTTTCGAAAACACAGATCAACGTTTTCGATACACACACATTGATTCACAGTTTTAGTGAAAAAAACGACAGAGACATGATTTCATCTATATCGTTATTGATGAAAGAAAACATTTTGAAATAAGAAATTAAGAAAAATCAACAACTAGAGATGGCAAGAGATCGAGGGCACTGGGGACCCAATTTCTCATCCTCGATCCCCTGTCCCCAGTGGGGAATGGGGATCCGCACCGTCTAAGATTTTTTCCCGTTGACACACATTAGTTTTTTTTATCATGCTAAAACTTTAACCAAACAAATTTTAATTGTCGCATTTGTGTTAGAGTAACATATAATAAACCTAGTTCAAACACAAATGTATGTCAATTATAATACTTAACAATTGAAATTTTATATCACGTTTTATATGCGAATTGTATTCATGTAAGGTTAGTATCATTTGTGTCAGTTCAGTAAATGCTCTATTCACATATATTATGTGGATGTTACAATTCTCACACTTCTTACCAAAAATGAGATTTATTACGTGAACCCAACCCTACAATACACACACAATATATATATATATATAGGGGTCTAATCAAATGAGAACTGATTAGTTTGTGGTAACTGTGAGAACCAATGTGAGCCAATCATTTAAATAATTAATGTTATATCCTAAAATAACATAAAGGGTAAATTGGTAATGTTTACCCTAACCCTCTTGTTCTTCCTTCTTTCATCGACTAACCCTATTTTTCTATTGCTACTTCTTCTTCATCAAGTCGGCCGACGATTCCTTCTTTCATCGACTAACCCTATTTT